GTGGAATCCATGTGCAAGATAAGGCGATGCCAAAAACACTTCAAGGACTACTGGCATTATAGGTTTCTTTATGGCCGATAACGAACAGGAAAATTTGACAAAGAACAAGCCCTTAATCTTCAAAACCTCTTCTTACTGATTTATTTCGATTTCTCGGCTAGAAATATAATAAGTGACATATAAATCCGAACACCCAGTTTAAATGGTTTTATTTTAATAAAAGTTGGAGAATCTATTTATCTTACTGTAAATAACAAGTTAAAAATTTTTCAGCCTTATCAGTTGGACATTCCGGTTTTTATACTGCTTTTTTTTAATTCACTAACGCTCTAAAAATAAATATTTCAGCCGCAGTAAAGAATCAACGTTGGCGGATTTTGGTTCTTGACATCCTTGACGATCACGATGCCTAGAGTACGGAGACCTGTACGATTTCGTCAACTTAGTGAGTTTTATAGGGGCCCTATAGTGGGACTTCGGGAAGCTGGACTTTCTTTTCGGGTAATTGCAGTTAGAGTGCAAAGAAGTGTAGACACTGTGGTTAGGTGTTGTCAGGCATGGCTTCGAGAAGGTCGTACGCAAAGAGCAAGGGGCACTGGACGCCGCCGTAGAACAACAGACCGTGAAGATCGCCGCCTAAGATTATTGGCCTTGAGGGACCGTTTCTCCACTACCAGGTCCATTGCAAATGAATGGTTTGCAGAACACGGAAGACCTATTGGCATGCGAAGTATCTACCGACGAATGAGAAGTTTTGGCTTGTTTTCATATCGGCCACACTGGGTTCTCCCTTTAACTCGAGAACACCGACGTAATCGCCTTGAGTGGTGCAGATAACGGTCACTCTGGGATGAGGAATGGAACAGTATTGTCTTTAGTGACGAGTCTCGATTTTATTTAGGCATGCACGATGGTCGTGCCAGGGTTAGAAGGCGAAGTGGTGAAAGGAGGAATCCACAGTTTTTTGTTGAAAGACATGTTCATCACACTGTTGCAATTATGGTTTGGGGTGCTATAGCTTATGGTTCCAGGTCACCCTTAATCTTCATCAGAGGTAACATGAACGCGCAGCGTTATATCCACAAAGTTCTAGAACCCCATCTTTTACCCTATCTTGACACCCTGGCAGATCCAACTTTCCAACAAGATAATGCCCGACCACATGTTGCAAGAGTCACAATAGACTTCTTTCAACATAATGATGTCACATTGTTACCATGGCCACCAAGATCTCCCGACTTATCCACAATTGAGTACGTGTGGGATATGATGGGTAGGAGATTGCTCAATTTGCAACGTCCTCCTCAGACTCTAGAAGCACTTCGAGAGGAGTTGGTGGTTGCCTGGAATGAGATACCACAGGAGTACATTGACCACCTGATCAGAAGTATGCCTAGGCGCGTTGGAGAATGCGTAGCACATCAGGGTGCATCCACACATTATTAAATGTCAAAGGGCTTTAAAGTAGTGCAATCATTTTGAAATTTTTATCATTTACTTATTATGCTTCATTAAGTACTTATACAAAATTTTATTAAAATAAAACCATTTAAACTGGGTGTTCGGATTTATATGTCACTTAGTATATTTTGATTTGTTCTACTATTGCATTCAAACAGCATCCTGGTCGAGTTAACCGTCAGGATACCTGAAGAAAAATATATGAAATTAAAAATTGCGACATAGGCATATAATAGCTGAGTCGCAGGTCGGTAAATTGGGTACAAAGTCAGTAATAATGTTATAATGGTCTTCACGCTGATAGAACTCCAGGTTTTTCTAGTCAAACATATCTAAAATTACTCTTTACTGACGTGTCAGCCATCAAGGTGGCCTTCTTCAATGTACAGATCAAAATGAGTCCGCTTCAAAACCATAGTCTTGTATAAAAAATTCCCTGTTTGGGTGCGTCATCACCTGTGAGGTGTATGCGACCATATGGAGTGAAAACTTTAGGTGTACGAGTTTTAATTATCTCAAAAAGAACTAAACAGGTAAACTACATGTTTTAGTTGCTTATCGAAACTGTATTTTGTGATTTACTGGTATACGTATTTTTGTGTTGACATCTGTAAATTCTATTCTACTTATAAATAGAATATAACTACTAAAATATGTAACTGTATTAGCATTTCTTTTGCTGGGTTCATAAAATATAAATAAAAATGAACAATACAGCGCTCGCTAGAAATTTCCATACATATCACTATGTAAATCGTAGAAAGTATTCATCTTGATCCATGGAATTTTACTATTGCTGGATATTGACGTTTTGTATAAATGCACTGGGGACAACGATATTTCGCAAAAGAAACGATGAGTGTAAAAACAACTCGAGAAGTTGAAGAATGAGGGTGTAATATATCGTGTACAAGGTTCAGGATTTAAGTGTATTTTCCCGATTGCCTGAGATCCTGCGATCTTCATACGAAAAAATAATTCATGAACCTTTTGTAACTTTTGGCGTAATACCATGCGGTATCTTCGAACATCCAACCTCTGTGCCAAGACTAGACAAGCTGTTATAAAGCTTAGGAACAGAGATAAAGCCGTTCGTATTGCCAAAGAGCAGCACGATGCAAAGATTAGCCACAATGTTATGTCGCAACGAAATGGCAGTGTTTTTTCTGGATGTTGGCCAAATACCATAGATTGGCGAAAGTATCTGAAAGGACCTTGTGGTCAATTTGAACATGGGCGTCCAACACCCAAGTACCTTCGATATCACGCTATTAGGGGCAATAACGTCCGCAAAACCGTTATGAGTGTACTGCCGCTTGACGCCAACGAAGCTTCCGGTTCTGACATATATTCTGCTAATGTATTGAAGAGATGTGAACCGACGTTTTATACCATCCTTTCACGTCTCATTTTTTTCCGTGAGCCTGAAAGATTGCCCATAGTTGTTACAGGCCTATAACTCTGTTGTATATGATCAGAAACCTGATGGAAAAGTGCTGCAATAGGGAAACCATAAGATATCTTGAAGATCACCGCGGCAGTATAGCTCGCAACAAAAGAGATCTCAGAAGAAGGTCTTGAAAAGGGGAACATCTGCAATGTGAGGTTTTCAAAGACTAGGAACATCACAATGCGAATTCATATCCACCATCATAGAAAAAACTAAAATGTGTAGATTCTAAGAGAATCTCGTTGTGTGTGTGTGTGCATGTGAGACACCTGTCAGGTAACAGTCATCGGTAATCGTCTTGAAGCCTCACTATAAATGTTCATTGTATTCATATTGTAGTATGGGAAGATCATACTGTATAATATATTGTTATTAGAAACTTGTTAGGTATGGCAATTTACCGGAAATGCTGCGCTAGGCAGAGGAATGACCGAGGTACCTTGCAGTGCCTACCGATATACATTTTTAGACAGAATAAACTTAATCATCCTGAAATCAAGTTGTTACTAAGAGCGAAAAGCCCGAAATAGATAAGTCTATTACAATATTTTGACATACGAGATTACTTAATATATCTCCTTAATGATGAAACTTTAATCGATTCGGAAGCATACCTGACTCAAAAACTCCATCTTTTTCTGGCCAATTGTAACAACATATATGTAAAAATTACTGTTTGGTGACATTTCGGCTACCGCGATGGCCTCTCAAAGCAATAAGCTAGCGCGAGGTTATCTGTTGTTTAGAATGTACCAGACACGTTACCCTCGCCTGTCGCGAGCAGACTGTGATGATGATATTATTTCTTCACTAGACAAATATAGCAAGTTGCTTCTGAAGTTTCGAAGTAAAATTCCACGCATTCTCCCTTTGGGGCGCTGAAACATTATAATGATGGTTTTGCGCGATTTTGACGTGGTGCGGGACCGTTCTGGCTGATGTTGCAACACACTGCGTGGAAGCGGGTAAAACAAGTGAACTGTCATTTGGAAGATAAGTTATTGTCGTAAGATTCGGAAAAGTAATGGAAGACGATGATAGCGATGGCGGAGAAAATGAAGTGGAAGAGTTGTGTGGGATAGGTACCGTTAGGAAGCTGATAACGTTTTTTTGAAAATTATGATAAATAAAACTAAACTACACTTTCATCTTGTTCTATGCTTTCAAGATAGTGTCGCCAAAATGTAAGCCGCATGTAAGTATTAAAGCAAACCCCTCTAAGTCACAAATGATTTTTAGAAACAGCCAAATCCAAGTACATTTGTTTTCAAAAAAGAAAACTCTCCCGCGAAGGAAGTCTCAAACGTTATGTGTTCACCTATTTCTGCATATAATAATCCTTATTTGCTTATTTTGTGGCCAGCAGCAAACTTTTGCGTTTCCTGAAAGATGCCCTAAAGTGGATTTAGCGGTTTTTGGAATACACAAATATGAAATATATTTCATTTGTAAGAAGGTGCAGCGGTGCAGTGCTTTTATACCTAATAGCAGTAGCCGTGGAATAGCTTTAAAAGCGGTGCGTTCACAAATTATTACAGAGTGAACTTTGTATTACACTATAACGACTTTGGCGTTCGTAATTGTTTGACGTACCTATTCCTGGCGTTCGGAATCAGTACAAAGTAATCCTTCTGGAACGTCAAAGGTGCGCTTTTCTTCCCGTGCTCAAAACCTTGGGAATAAGAGTGTTATCACTTGTCATTTTCACGATTCATGGATTGTTTGCGTTATTTATTATGTGAGAAACCTAAAAAAACGACGGAATGTCATCTTGCAGACTAGGTAGCTTTTTGTGTGCAAATAGTTTATTCCACGTTTGCTTGCTTTGATCGCTGTTCGATGACGTTTAAACAGCACGTACAGCTACAAAACGCGTTCACAACAAGTATACAACAGCTTGTGCTTAGTTAAAATGTTGTAGAAAAACCAGTGAAATGTCAAAAAACCGACGAAACTTTACTATTTAAGATACGTAATACCCGTGCGTATGCCTAGCGTTTCTTATATACAATGATCCCAGAAAACGTGGTTAGAAATTAGTCGGCTGTCATCATGTGTCATTAACTGTATAGGAGACTGACGATACGACCCTAAAAGTCAAGTTGACAGAATTTTTGCCCTGAGAATTAGCTCTCGAAAATCCAGTAAAAAAGGCATCTAATAAGATGGAAACAGATCCTGGGGATCAGCAGGATGCAACCCCTAGATGGCCCAATATTGGCGAGAGTCAAGGTGCCCCGCCAGACCGAGATTGTCTATCTGACAGCCAACTGTTAAAGAACAATAAAAAGCAGCAGGAAACGATAGCAGCGCAGACGAGGCTTATTGAAAAGATTTCACTGCTAATGGACATGTTGCAGAGGCAAATTAATAAATTATTGAAGAGTGAATCGCCAAAGAAACGTCAATATGACAGCGACAGCGAAAGTTCCACAGTTAACGAAACGGAAATAGCAAAAATGCAAGAAGATAGCCTTAAAGTATCGAAAAACGCAGATCCAAGAAGAGCTCCAGCGATTTTCCACCACTGCCAAGTAAGCCCAGCCAGCTTCTTACTTCGACTTCATCATCTTTCAAATACATTTTATTACCACTCAAACTCCAACCTCGGCTACTGACTCTAGTCAAATTACAAATTCAGAATCAAGCTCTCCAGGTTCGAGCACTACACCTTCGAGACTACCTCCATCAAGGCGGGTCACGCCGATAGTACTGCGCGAACTAGGAAAGTGGAAGTTTCTATCTCAATGATGTGTTTCTCCCTGTATTAAAATTGATACCGGAATTAGAATTACCCCTAAAACAAAAGATGATTCTCGAAAACTTGTACGCTTTCTAAAAGAAAAAGAAATAGCACACCATACTTTTCCCTTCCCTGGAGAAAGAAACATTCACGCGGTCCTTAGGGGAATACCAAAAACTGCGGAGGAATGTGAAGCGAAAGAAGAGCTCATATCAAGGGGATATAACCCGCTTCATATGATTCGCTTAAAAAGCAATGGCTGGAGACCCATGCCTGTTATAGTTGTGGTACTGCCGAAGGTAGCAAAGGTGCAACGAACTTCTGAACAAATTGGTCAGTACCATCGCTGTCAGAGATATGGTCACTCCCAGTCATATTGTACGGCACCTCCCAGGTGCATGGAATGCGCCCAAGAGCACCTCACGCATCTGTGTCCACTTACAGATCACGATGCTAGGACATGTGCAAATTGTGGCCAAAATCATTCAGCAAATAGCTTAGGATGTAAGTTTGTCCCCAGAAAAAATATTGAACTTCTACGAGAGCGACAGCAGAGAGCTACTTCTCTAAATTCCATCCCAACTTATGCTGCTGTTGCCTCTTCCAGCAACACAAATTCGGACACTTCACAGTCTGCCCCAGTTAATGACTTAGCAACTGTCTTGAAATCATTTAAACAGATTATAGCTACTCTTCTGCACGAAACACAAGCCCTGAAGGCTGTCTTTCTGCAGCCAGTAATAGGGCCGCAAATAAATAATAATAAATAAACTATACTCCGGCTCAAGGACCTAAACCTAAACCTAAACCTGGCTCTCTAAGTTATAAATCTTTTGACAATACTCTAACCAAATTAATCACCTTTCGGAATACAAATTAAATAAATTTCGTTCTTATTAATTGATTCTATTCCTCTTTTTTTCCCCTTTCTCATTTTTTCCCTTTATTTCGTCTTCCTCTGTCTTCTATTTAATAAAAAAACTCTTCTGGCTGAAGAAAGAAAACATCATTCTGCCAGACCACTCACATAACAAACGACGAGACGATGATTAAATCTGTAATAATTTTGACGTTCGAAGAATAAAATTTCACAGTATCCCAGAGTAAATTTCTGTCAATTTACATTCCATTACTGTGTACGGTAATACATTACCAAGTGATTTACAAACGCACCTATCTGGCAGCCAAGAGGAAACTGTTGTCAGCCTACAAAGCTATCCCGAGGGAAAGATTAAATGGACTGAAATGAACATAGATTAAAGTACCATATACCTCACGCTAGATGGCGCTGCCAGTAGCTGCATACACTCTTTATTTCATGTTCTGTGTATGTTCTGTTATTCCATGTCATATGTGCTTGACAAGTTGGCACTCCTATACTTTATACGTGTTTCGAATTTAAAAATTTTCAAACTCTGACCTCTTCGACGGAGCCATAGAAGTAATTACTTTTAGTTAAGATGCTAATCGACTCTCGTAATATTATAACCAATTAATTAATAATGAATTATTTTCCACACCAAATCCAAGAACGTCATACGATATAACCGAATAATCGGTAGCAGTGAGACAAGCAATCACAAACTTGACAATTCGGCAATTGAATCTACTATTATGCTTGTGAAAGTGATTTTTCTGCAGATGAGGCAGAGTTATTGAAAAGTGAAGACATGCATTCTTCTGTCCTGCCATGGAATCTTGTATTTGTATATTACTTATAATTAAATCACAAAATACAGTTTCGATAAGCAACTAAAACACGTAGTTTACCTGTTTAGTTCTTTTTGAGATAATTAAAACTCGTACACATAAAGTTTTCGCTCCATATGGTTACATACACCTCACAAGTGATGACGCACCTAAAAAGGGAATTCTTTATACTAGCCTATCGTTTTCAAGCGGACTCATTTTGATCTGTACATTGAAGAAGGCCACCTTGATGGCTGACACGTCAGTAAAGAGTAATTTTAGATATGTTCGATTAGAAAAACCTGGAGTTCTATCAGCATGAAGACCATTATAACATTATTACTGACTTTCTACCCAATTTCCCGACCTGCGACTCAGCTATTATATGCCCATGCCGCAATTTTTAATTTCATATACATATATTTTTCTACAGGTATCCTGACGGTTAACTCGGCCAGGATGCTGTTTGAATGCAATAGTAGAACAAATCAAAATATATACTTAGCTTCTGAACAAATTGCGCTGTTAAACAGGCAACAAGTAAACCTCAAGTTAACTTTTCGCCTTACTCTAAAGTTCGAGTGTACTTATCCATATCAACCGCTGTGGTGTCTCGAGAACCGTCACCAACAAACGCGCTGACTGTATACCCGAGCCCCTAGGGTATCATGCAAGATTATGGTTCATATCCGCTTAATACGTTGATACGTTCTCCGTCGAGAGGAGGACAAACTTTGGGGAATAATGGGAGTTGCATTTGAGCAGCCGTTAAATTCTGACATAACACACATGGACGGCCCTGTTTGCTGGAGAGTTTCAGGGGACAACGGGGGAGGTGATTTAATTGGAGTTCATTTGAACATATTTTTAGTTAAAAAGTTAGCACGGGAGTCATTTTTAAAGTAATAATAGCCAAAAATGAAGATGACCTACAAAGATTAATTAAAGAATTCGAAGATACGACGCTCCCCAACTAGCAAAGTAGTTGTATAAGCTTTTGGTAAAAGAACCGTTAAGCCATAAAAGCTCTCTATTGTTGTTGCCTGAACACAAAAATGCTGGCTTAATGTTGTGTGGAATGCAGATTTGCTTTCTGCAACATATTTGCTCTAAAATGAAGTGTTTAAAATATTCGTATAGCATAGTTATACAATACCTTATAGGGCAAATTTTTAACTGTTGCATAAACGTTTATACAAGTATTTTATACGGCATATTTGCATATTTGCATATTAGTCGAAATGGTTGTGTTGTGGCATCCATGGTAACGTTTATAAAACAAACCCGAGCCTTGTCGTTTTGCTGTGCAATTTTCTACTTTAGCCAACAAATTGCTCCCAACGGAAGCACTTATCCAACTATTGTTTAGTAACTGTTAAAGGCTGTACATATGCTAAATATGTTGGTAAGCAACTTCACCATAACCTAACTTTCTGCTGTCATATTTTTGTAAAATGCTAAAATGCCATAATCAATGTTTTAAGACAAAGAACGCATGCATATTGGTTTAAAAGGTTTTATCAACTGTTCAAACAGAAGATATAGATCTGGTACAAATTCTGGGTAAATCATTCGACTCTGTTGGTATTGCATTTCAGACATTTGTCAAATTGTTGTATAACACCTGCAGGCAAGACCAAAATATTCTTATAACCTAAAGACAACATGATTGTACACAACCATCTGCCATATTGGCCAAACATTTATTCCTCTATTTAATATTAAATAATTATGTTTCAATTCGAAATTACAGATATAAAGTGATATACATTAGTGTAATTGTGTCTAAATATAGGATTTGTGGAAGATTTAACGCAGATAAGTTCAGTTTTCCATCTTAAAAATCTAGATACACTTTTGATCATTGTCAAAATATGAATCAAATACGTAGCCCGTAGAAATTAGGTAACTAATTTGCAAGATAATCACAATAAAATTCGCTGCGCAAGTAATTCAATAGCCCTATATCACAGTGTAGAAGTTTATCATATACCTCTGTATGAAATTCATAATGGCCGATATGTAAGTAAACAAGATGACAGTAATGTGTTAGTTATATATTCTTCACTTCGTCTGTACAATACATAAGAAATAGTTTGGTTGCAATAAAGTAGAATCACGTAACAGAATAGTTGTATAGTTGACAAAAACTGAATCTTGCACTGACGCAAATGTCCTATAGCGGCTGCAAGAGGCTTACACTTTTGTTTTATAACTGTTACCTGCAGCCCTAATTTAACCTCTTCAATGACTGAAGTGTCCTATTAGGTGTGCCCATTCCGCTTGTATCGCTGTTCTGAGAGGGTTTTGACAATGTTCTTACAGTATACAATGCTGTTTAAGGAATACTGTATAATCATTCTTGCAACTCTAATAGGAGTGATAATTGTTAGTTGGGTCATATACAACATGGTGATTTCAACAGAGAAAACTAAATCGATAGTGATATCAGCGGAACCGAGACGATGTAAACTGGTCGTAAATAACAAAATAACAGAACCAGTGATGGAAACGGAATACTTAGGAATCATACTGTCAAGATATGGAAAAGTGGAAGAAGAAGTACAAAAACAAGTGAAAATGGCGAACAGAGCAGCAGGATGTCTCAACAATACAATCTAGAGAAACAAATACCTCACAATGGAAACGAAAACTAGGATATATAAATCAACAATAAAACCTATAATGACGTACACAGCGCAGACAAGAGCAGATACGGCGAAAACACAAAAATTATTGGAAATAGCAGAAATGTCTTACGAAAAATAGCAAACCAAACTCTAAGAGACAGAGTAAAAAGTGAGGAAATACGAGCGAGATGTGGTATAGAGGAAATAAACCGGTGGACCAAAAGAAGAAAAATAGAATGGAATCAACACATAGAAAGAATGACAGAAAATAGAACAGTACGAATAGCCAGAGACAAATCGCCAAATGGAGGAAGATCAATGGGACGACCGAGGAAAAGATGATCAGACAACATCAATTGAGGCTAAGAACCGAATTAAAACAGGCATGAGCCTATTAATAAAGTAGGAAGAAGAAGAAGAAGCATTTGAACAGCCGTTAAATTCTGACATAACACACATGGACGACTCTGTTTGCTGGAGAGTTTCAGAAGACAACGGGGGAGGTGATTTAATTGGAGTTAATTTGAACATATTTTTAGTTAAAAAGTTAGCACGGGAGTCATTTTTAAAGTAAGAACCGATTGCGCATAATACCTGTGGATCCTGTCACGTGATATCCGTTCAACCTCAAATACTCCGCCAACTCTTGGCCAGTCTCTTACTAGGCCGCCGTTGTTGTGTGGCTATACTTCTTTGTTTGTCGTCATATCACGCAGTAAGCCCGCCGACCGTGAAGTGCCATGCAAAAAAGTTCCTCCTGCTGAAATTGACCAGCAGTTTGTTGAATTAGGCGCGCTATTCAAAACCGTCGGCGGGGCCTGCTGTATAGGGTCGTCGTTTTGGGTCACAACGCTCGGCCTCACGTTGCCCTAATTCAGCACCGTCAGCCTTTCATCTTTTACCAAAACCTGGTAAACAATGCTTGGAAGATTATCACATGCTGGAAGCAACAGTTACTAACTGCCTTAATGATCAGACGGCAGCGCTCTTTGACTACGGGATCAGAGCGGGTGCAAATATTTCAATGTTTATGTTGACTAAGCTAAGAAATTGAAAAAAATCATATTTTAGTTTGTGATACAATTTACATTCACAAATAAAGTTCCTGGGACTCCATTACAACCGCTAAAACTTAAAAAAGACCCTCGTATTAATGTAGATGCTTACTATAGCCAAACATGTTGGATGTGCGCAGATAGCAAAGAGACTACTCCCAAGTATTGCAAACTTGCAACGAGAGCTAGATTGCCATTTGCCAATGTGCTAGTTCACAACTATTTATTTTGCAAAACGATTGGTTTAGCAGAAGTATGTATTTGATATTCTCTATCCTAGATGGCAAGAATGCCGTTTCTACTCTTTAGGTGACAGAAATATTTACTACTGTTTTAAATTCCCGCGTCAACTTCTATTATGATGATGTCATTATTACCTTTCAAAATTTTTTTTTGGTAAAACTAGCGCAGTTTCCGTGTCTAAAACAAGTTGCCGTGGTTCATGCCAAATTTATCCCCAAAAGAGCAGAAAACATCTGTCATTTCATATCTTATGCTATCATCTATCAATCAATTTTTTTTTATTTCCTTTCCTTTTTTGAGCTGCAATGGTCAATTTTCAAAGACGAGAAAAGCCAATCATAATTGTATCCAAAGCCACAAGTGAAAGCTGTAAAAAGGGACGCTCTTTACTGTTGACAACACTAGCACGCGCTCCTCCAGGCCGTGTGATATGTTTTCGCTGAGTGCAAAGCTAGTTCAAAAAGTGAACCAAAAGAACATGAATATACAGGGTGAGTTTTTAGTGTGGGCTCGTCAAATAACTTGGTTATTATTTTTACTTTGACAAGGTAATTCATAATTTCCTGGTGACCCGCCTATCATAATACTGCACTGATTGATAGTTTTCGCAGACATAGTAAGCTGCTGTCAGTTAGTCTGTACAGCAGATATACTTTCGCCCCACTCAAAATCACTTCAGATAATCCTAAGGTATATATATATATATATATATCAGCATATGGTTGAAGTTTATTTTGTCATGTATATCAGACCCTAGTGATTCATACTATCAACCCTTTATCGATCTTACTGGAACTCGGATCTTTCACTCCAAATTTCCATTGCGAAACAGTTTCACATTCCCCTTAAGTCATGTCTTCAAGGCTATAACGTGAGGCAGAAAATTGCTAAAATGATCGTTGAGCAGATAAAAGGTCGTCTTATCAGGCTAACCAGATGAAAATTCGTAATAAAGAGGAAAGTTGTTACCAGGCTGGTTCGTTGCCTGGTGGCCGATTACTTTGATTAATTTTATTAACCGCTGTCGCGAATTTCATCAAATCGACCTACTCTGCTTCTCTAGCAACCAGGCAAGGTTCCGAGCTGTTAAGTTCTTCGGTGAAGCAGTTTGGAAAGCAAGAAATACTTTTTGT